ACGCCTGGTAAAAAATAAGCAACTATAATTTCAAATTTCATATACTCTCCTTTTAAATGGTTTGCAATTTCTCCATTTACGTCTTCTCTGAGCCTGAGTTTATATTAGGAGTCAAAGCGGGAGAATATGCAACAAATCTTTTATGCCAAAATTTTATGTTTAAGAGTAAGATATACATTGTAGATCTCAACATTACAAAGACGTTAGGGAATATGCATATATATACTTTTTTTATTTCACTTGCTTGACCGCTCAGTAATAAAGGCCTAGTAACATTATATAAATATACTCTGATCAGAATCTAGTAGGAATAACCTATAACAACGCAATGCTCTGGAAGAAATAAACTCATAAATAAATGCTATTCAGATAGATAGGGAAAAAATTCAAAATATTTTGGGGATCGATTTATGTTTGAAATTATTTTGTCGCATAAATATAGTTTCACAGATGATTTGTGAAGTATCACCTATTACATCATATGCACTTTAACGAGGATCAAAAATGTGCTAATTTATGTCGCATACGCAAACATGCATTGTGAATGGACAATATATTATTTTATTAAGATAATATTCAGGATCTGGATCAAGGATTGATCTGGAAAATTCAGCGCACAAACTCACAATTATTATCCAAATCTGAGAAATTCACAGTAACATCTTTTTCATAAATATAGTATAGGAATTCTAACGGCAGGAATCAGCATATTCTTTGTATTTCTGTTGATTTATCCCTATGTTTCTCACAATCTGAAATTCTAATGTTTTCAAAGTTATATTTTTTATTAATATGATAATATTTGAGATTCTATAACTATTTTAACATGTCAGACCAGCCTGTACTTCTAACAACTATATAGCCTTGCTGATATAATACTCTAAAAGTAGCTATGTATGCTACAGTACATAATCGTCTATATAACTGATTTTTCTTTGCTTCTACCCAAGTATCAGCAAAATAAATGTTATGCTTATTTTCTACATAAAATCGGTCACTCACATAATTAGATTCTATTAGTTTTCCATTAATGAAATGATATGTTTTACCACGAGGAACAATATCTAAAAACTTCTTATCGTCAGGAGTACCATCATTCCTCACCACCTCCCAAACCTGTTTTGCCAAAGACTCAGGTCTTTTTTTGTAATTCTTGTAAGCTCGCTGGATAACTACTGCATAGAAATTCTCAAACTGATAGTTGTATTGTCTCGCAATCAAGAATCTCCAAGATCGCTTCATTAATCTTTCTGAAATAATCGTTATATATTGGAGAATCTAACTCAGAATAGGCAGATCATGCATATCGTATTTTTATCCTGCATAAATTATGCAGGTGATACATTTCATAATTATACTAGGCAATCATGTATTTAGAATTCATTTCGCAAAAAAATAAAGTATAAGTTTTGTTTGGCTAAATATAGTTGGGATAAATAATATTAATATTCAGTTGAAAGATATTAAGTCTATCTCCTTCCTTGCATTATTTTGAACAGAATTAAAATATTCTTCAGCATTAATCAAGACATGGCTTCTCTCAAATCTATAGGCCAAAATTTCAGGTGCATTTGTACTATGTCGCATAGGGTATCTCTTAAGACCACCCATTAATGCAACAGGCTTTGGTGGCAAAGGAGGAGGGTCAATAAACGTGGCTTATCCATCCAAGATTCCCTTTAGGAATAGTAACTTTAATATTGGATAGGCTTTTTTGGAAAAGAAGTTAAGAAAGTATTGTTCATACAGATATTTCTTTGCTAGTTATCAATATAGTAAGGCTTGCTAGGCATAGTGTTTACATTACTTTGCACTTTATGCTTTTACCTGATACGTCTAATCCTATTTGATACATTTTTCAACCACATCTCATATCGATGGATTGCCTTCTTTGTGAAATAGCAAGGTGGAGGATTATTTTTCAGCTTTATGTAGTCTTCGAAGCTCATATCACAATATTCATTTTCAATACAATTTGTATGCCAATGCTTTTCCATAAAGAATGCATGGAAATACTCATATTCGCTTCCTAATTTGGAATAGACAAGCTGATTACAAAAATAGCATATTCCTATATTTATTCTGAACCAAACATTACACTGATATAATAAATATATTTGTTTTCTTGCAATAAGATATCTCTTATTATAATTAGTTAAAAGATGATTTTTTCTATATACCATTAATATGTCCCAAATTCGATCTTTCCAATCTGATAGAGTCTCATTCTCACGATTCTAGAAAGATCATAGTTAATATGTGAATCAGCTACACTTAAATGTATATAGGGATCAGAATATACCATATTTAATGATTTTAGCTATTAAGAGATTTATAGAGTTTACACTGCGATTTTTATCAATTTATAGCTGATTTAGCAAGATTATACTATACTAAATCTAAATTCATTTTTATTCGATTATAAGCATGTCAGGAATTTATATAGGGTTATAGCTAATTTTATATTTACATGCATATGCACGGTGCCTGGCTAAATCAGTTTATAGCATGATGCATATCACATGTATCACCCTAGATCCCTAGGAGAGTTCCAGTTTCTATAAATCACAAGATGATCGGCCAATCAGAAAAAAAGTTTGTGACACATTACTGGCTTTCATTTGTACACATTTTTTCAATTATACGTACTCAACACCTGCTGGTAAAAATTACTAGCCCAATGTGGGTAAAAAATACTTTATTAGATGCGAAATTGTAAATACAGAAAATATGCAGTAATATAGCGCAGTAGTCACGTGACAGCGTGAAGAATCTTCACGGAATCATATGATAGATGATTACATAGAGAAACGGTCTATAATATTTCGAATTTGGGTAGTAGATAGGCTTGAAATAGCATCGGCGCTATATGATTTCACCCGCTTGATCTTGTTTGTCCCTATCCTTACAAACACCTTATATATATTCCTTGCTTTTTGGGTTTTCTTACGCAAATTTGCTTCTGTAATTCCTGGAAGATGTTGAGAGACTTCGCGGTATACTTGACTTCTAGCTGTTGGATCGGTAAATGATGAATCTTGAGATCTAATTTTCCTAACCCTATTTTCGAATCCTTCAGCATATTTATACCAACATAAAATTTCATCTTGATTTGCCTTTGTAACGCGTAATCCAGCACGAGTTGCCTTTTGATATAATCGGGCTAAGCTTTGAGATACAGATCCATCAGCATCCTCCTCCTCATCAACATTTTCGGCTTTCTCTCCCTTAGCAGGCGTAGATAATTCTTGCAACAGGGTCTGGAATTTTTCTTGTTCACGAGTGATCCTTGGAGAGGTCCGTCTTCTTGATGAATTTCTTCTTGATTAAGATTCACTTTCTTGCACATTGGTGTCATCCCCGCTATTTACATTAAATTGATTCTCCAAGTTATCCTGTATATTGGTAACACGGATTTCATTATTAGAATTACCTTAATTCTCCAGAGTTCTGGAGATATAAAGATGAGAGTGAAAACTGTTATTGCATAAATATATGCGAGAATGTCCAGAGGCGTTATGCATGAATTTGTACTGCTTACCTATTATCAATAGAATTAGACCGGTTATCATTGTCATCCTCATCCTCAATCATGATTGGGCTTGTCGCCTGATCCTGCATAGTGACTTGCTTCGATTGACCCCCCTGCCCAGCACAAGAGCCACCTTCTACCAATCTTAGTGAAGTCATAAGCTCCTCATTACCCTGTCCAGTGTCAGTTTGTTTTTTCTGAAGATGATATTTTCTAGAGGCGAGTACTGCCTCTTCTCTAGTCAGCTCAATGATTACATTACACGAAGGGCATGTAAGAGGTGGTTCAGTTTCTGCTTGCATAATATACTTCTCAAGAAATTGGCGGTGGAAAAGGTGTTCGCAATCCAATACAACAAACGATTGAAATCGGAATTTTAGGATTACTCTTTGGCAAATACTGCAAGGATTGAGTTTCGGAATTCTGGTGGAATAGTTGAAATCTCTTGATTTCGAAGATAATTTAATGCAAGTACTTCGAGTTGGGAAGGCTCAGAAGTATCTGTTTAAATTTCAGAAGCGCTGGTCGAAGGTTCACTGGCTATAGTGGCACTCGAAGGTTCACTAGCCATAGTGATGAATTGTAGAGAGAAATGAAATGAAATAATAATAATATCTCTCATCCACTTCCTACTTATACATTTCTCGATTCAAGTTTAAAGCAAAAAAAGTAATATTAGTTCGAAATCAACGCACCTATCTGGTTTTCCAAACACTAGAGATCTGCTGTGATCGTAGTAAAACATGAATGTCCTTGGATCTTTGCTGACAATCCAATTTACCGATCACAAATTAAGATTTTACCCTAAATTGCCCTGTATTAGTATGCAGACCTCTAAACGATCAAAAAATATTAGCATGCAGATTCCAGAGTAATCATACCAATCGTCCACACGAAAAAAATATTTGGTTACGCCCCATCGAAGCATTGCCTCCTCAGGGGAGAAAATTCTCATCTTGAAAAGATATTTCTTGAAACTGGTAAGTCGAATTAGTTAGGTAATCATGTTTACTGTTCTCTTTGATTGAGAGGAGCTGAAAAGTGATGCGCTAATAAATACAAAAGAATATGACTTTGTCCATAATACACATTAAGTCTATCCTATTTGTATCTATTCTACCTCTTGCCCACTCTATTTCATAATACTAAAGAGATCTTCATCCTGGAATGAAAAGATACTAGTCAGGTATTAGTTCACAGTTCTGAAGACGCTTCTTGCAAATGTACATCTCCAGTATTTTTTTTTTACCAGCACTTCTTCACATTACGATATGTTGTGAGTATGCTGGTCCTATTTGCCAGCCTTCTCGTGGACTCGAAACCAGGAAACAAGTAAAATCATTATTCCATTTCGGTCTGATCTATAATCAGGGCTAAAAGTAGAAGTCAAATTTTACTGGCCAAATATCTGGAAAGAAAAATTTTACCGAAAGCATTTATCGAATACTTTTATAATTCTGTTCCTTATACTAAAATTTGTCAGACATGTACAGTATAAAGATATTTTAAATTTTGCCGGCCAAAGATCTGGAACATACTAGAGATGCCAGAATTTACAATATTATTTTCTCATGCTCAAAAATAAGATCATGTGACAAGTTATGAAATTATAATGTCATACCATGCTATCCATGCATATCTGAAATGTATGAGACGCAGCAACTGTAATGGTCAATCAACCTAACTTTACTTACATACTGTCAGCAAAATTGACGATATTAAAAAAAAAATAAACAAAAAAATAAACAAAAAAAAAATAAAAAATATAAACAAAAAAATTATTTTTCGTGTTTTTTTTTTTTCAATAAATTTTTGAAAGTTTTAACGATTCATTAGCTTTTATTTTCATTTATGTAATTACAATTTGTACTTTTTTTTTCTATATGCAAATAAAACGCGTAAATTAAAACTTCACAGTTATAAGAAAAAAAAATATATGTATCCAATAACTTCAATTTTTCAATTCCTTCAATTTGGACGATTGCTCAATATATTCTTGCATAAATTATGCTCTTTTTTGGCTGTTTTCCTCTTTTTCTGAACAGGAATAACATGAGAATCAAAATTTTCTTTATCTTCATTTATAAGAACAGGTAACCTTTGTTTAGAACCATCACCCTCCATTTTGCGTCTTTTAATTGATTCTACTTGAACCCTTATATGTGCATCACTTTTGATACGAACCATCGGATCTAGGTCACGATTGAGATCGTAAAGAAACAAAAACAACCAGAGTACTGACTTTGATTTTGCAGTATTATATCGGTCTTTAAACTTGTTTAGCGCAGTTCGTAACGCTTGATCGGCATTTTGAAAGTCCAATTTAACTTCATTTAAAAACGAAATAAACTCAGAAATGTCGAAATCTTCTATTTCTTCATTTATTTCATTTGATTCTCTAGGTCCCCTACAAAGAATTTGTTAATAAAAATCATAAAATTCTAATTGACAAAAAAAAAAAACCTTACCTCTACTCAGTAGCTAAAACATTGCTCAATTCAGCATGTTGGCTTTGTATAATAGATTGTTGTGCATGTAATGATGCATAAAAAGATTTGTTTTCGGCAACACAACCTAAAAAAAAAACCATTATTATCTTATTCAATACATTGATGAAGATAAGTAATTATTACTACTTACCGAATGCTATATATGCATAGGTTATACGATCATTTGACATCAACGATGGAACAAAATTAAAATTTGAAAGATGATACTTCATTGATACTGCCCCTTGATGTTTACAGGGCGCACTGGTCATTCCAACAAGACAAGAACATACTCCAATCTCACTATTTACGATATAAAAAGTGTTTGCATCTTTTGTACTCAGTACCAAAAACTCATTATCCACACAAGTCTTTTGAATTACATCCATATTTATTATTTTCCAGTTAGAACACAAGAATCGTTTGGCAATACGTAAATATCCTACATGCCTATGTGCAATTCCAAGCACTCTCCTTTCATAAAACCTTTCCATAGTTATGATTATAAATTGAAATATTTGTATTGGGTTGTAAGCTTTTGTTCTTGCAAAAATAATATCTTTCATTATACCAAAGCTTCGCTCTATGTAATTATTTATATTGTTACCACGCATAGGTAAGTTTAAATGAAATGACAAAGCCCAAAATTGGCGACGCTTTCACAAAAACTCAAATGACTCCGCAGTTGTGGGTGATTATAAAATTTCTGCTTAAATTCTTCATAATGTATTTCCATTTCTGAACCTGATAATACATACAAAATTTTCCTTGCTTTTTCCATTATAGGCACCCAGTTTTCTTTATTAACTTTATGTTTTGAATCATATAACCTCCTCCAAAATGCCTGAAGAAAATGAAAAGTACACAAAAGGCGAACCCCTGTGATGATTTGGAATATTAGCATTAAATTATTAATATATTGTTTAAAATAAATACTAATATATGTTAGTGTTACCTTTTGGTTAACATAGTTCTAGTGCATTACGCTCTGCACTTGAATCGTCAGTTAAAAAAACCATCGGTCCAATCTGAGGTCCACGTCTGAAGAAAGCATATGGTGGAAGAATTGTTTTAAGTAGATTCATTGCTTTCTCTAACGTGATTTTAAGTTCGTCTGAAGTAACAAACAAGCTAAGTGGAAGAGCTCTGACCACGCAACTTGTATAAAGTAATGTAATCAAAGAATTGAGAGGATCAAATGATGCTAAAGCATCTACATAGCATAATTTGCCTGCTTGTAAGACCTTTTCGTGAACTCTGCACATTAAACTTGTTATAATGCAAAGGATAAAGGCTTTGTCAGCGTGTGCATCATATTCTTGTAAAACAGCTTTCCCTTGTCCCAAATAATTATAATCTTGAACCAATTCTGCTAATCGTTCAAACATTAATTTTCCGTTATTTCCTCTAAGAGAAACTTCACAATAGTTTTGGAAAAGTTTTGCGACATAATCATAACCCAGATTTTTGGCTCGATCTGCTAAAGTTTCCAATAATTCCTGTTCATCCGAAGCATTAAGATAAAGATTATCTTCATAAACATGTAATGCTGAAGACAAAGAATGACCATCATTAAATAATTTTAAAAATTCTTCACAGATTTCGCTATCAACACGTCGAAAACTTAGTGACTCTGCTGCATTAATAACATGATTGTGCGTGAATACTATATTTATTTCTAGTGGGTGATTAAGTGGGAGTTATCGACGCTCTAATCGAAGGTGTATAGTTGCTGTACAACCTACAGTCACACCTCGATATAACGAAGTTACTGATCCAGCCGATCAGGACTTCGTTATAAGAATCTTCGTTAACGCTATAACGAATTATGCGG